TGGGTTAGATCGCGTAAATGTGTTGTTAAAAACCGCCACCACCCGACACAGCCAACTAGTAAGGGTTGTCACGTAAACAGAACATGCCAATTTGTCACTAATACAGCACACCGGTGTGTTGGAGAGCCAAGCCACAACAGCTAGTTTCTCTTAAAACAGCTAGTTTCTCTTAAGCTAGTCCTGAATACCTCCAAAACCAAGGTGCTATGCTTCTCTCCGGGACTAAAGCAGGAAGTTATTTTTCCCCAATTACATTCCTTAAATTATTATCAAGTCAAGATCTATAAGTATCTTGGGGTCATCCTGGATTCAAAACTTAGTTTTGAAGATCACATTGATTATATTGGTAAAAAGACAAAAATAAAAATTGGTTTTCTGTATCGACACAAGCACTGCTTTCCCCGAATGTTCCGTTTGGAATTGATAAAAGCTACCATACTGCCTCTACTTGACTACTGTGACATCGTGTATAAATCAGTCCCAAGTACTGTACTGAAGAAGCTTGATTCCATCTATCACTCGGCCTTAAGATTTGCATTGAACTGCCCATATAGGACTCACCACTGTGATCTCTACATTGGGTCAAACTTAACATCTCTTAATGTTCGACGGCTTGTGCACCAGATCTTATTTATTCACGATGTACTTAAAAAATTCCGCAGACTACCTACTGGATCTCCTCTCTGTTTCAAAGAACAAATTTGACCTCAGGTCTTCGCTCATTTACCAGCTTCACATTCCCTATTGCCGTACAAAAACTGGAGGAAGGGCCTTTGCTATTGATGCCCCCAGGGTCTGGAATGCTATTGCCAATAAACTGCAACTTTAATCACTACCTATGAGATCTTCACTCAAAACTGCTCTAGAGGAGTTGTACAACCCTAGCTGCCACTGCTATTCAGTGCCCTAAAATATGGCTCTAGATTTTGGTGTTATAATTTATGTATGTAGTTTATTGTAAAAAAAATTCGGTCACAGTCCCTATGATCACTGTTACATTGCATTCATGGCTTTTATTTTGGTGATTTCGAAAAGTTTTTTTTTGTTTTTGCCATGTTTTTGTTTATTGCAGTACGGAGTTAGACTGATGGCCTTAATCTTAGTTGTCTTGTGGTTGTTGTTATTTGACTTGCATCCCACTGGGATTTTTGCACACAGTGTTGGTGTACGGTGCTATTTCAGGAATATTTTGATATTTTTTTCCTGGATTTTCTGTTTGCACAGTCACATAATCACTTTAAGATGTTTTCTTGTTCATGTTTTTTGTTTGTTGCGGTTGCACCCGATTCAAGAGCCGAATGGCTCACAGGGCTATACCAAATAAATGAACTATGAACTATTTACAATCTGAGTACAACGTTTCGCCAGTAATTACCACTAGCTTCATCAGGCGACAGCCAGATTTGTGGAGAAGTCTTACTGTTTCGTTCCTTATATAGAGGTGTAGATGTGGTGACCACACTTCTGTGCTCTTGCACAATGTGGGGGGCGGGGGGGGCGGGAAGGATTAATGAGGCAACGCACATTATGCATGTACATTATGCGATCCCTTTTACTTGTCCTTCCTGTCTTGTGTTCGGGATTACCAATGGTAATCCCTATTGAAGTACGCTGCCCTTTGTAGGCATGCATTTAAAGAATGTATTATTTTATGATTCGCTTCCACGCAGCACTAAGGCGGTAGCTATCCAAAAGGTTAAAGTTATTTTTTATTTGATAATAGGGTTTTCCCCTTTTTTCTGGCAACAAAACAGGTGTTAAGATATTAAAACACCAAACTGTCTGCATTGACCACAATTCTTGTGGTCAGAATGCAAACAAAACACTCTCATAATGTATTGTCCTTGAAACTGATTGGTCCACACCAGAGACAGCTTTCTTTTGAGCCTCGTCTCAAACGGTGTTAGACCAGAGGACACCAAAAGGCGTACTATTATCAGAGTATGTTTTTTGTTTGTATTCTGATCACAAGCATTGTGGTTAATGCAGACATGATTCCTCGTAAAAGGTTTCAGTTTGGTGTTTTAACATCTTAACACCTGTTTTCTTGCCAGAAAAAAGGAGAAAAACTTATTATCATATTTTGTTACTGGCAAAGGAGTTCCCATGATGTAGATTATTTTTTATTTATTTCAATTTCGATAGATTATCTCATTATTCTTGGCCAGTAGTAGCTAGTTTTGCACAAAACTTCAACATTATCAAAATCAATTGGGTGTCCTTGTTGGCACGCGTGTTCTGCTACTGCTGACAGTTGTATTTGGGAGAATTGAATATTTCTCTGATGTTCTTTCAGTCTCGTGCTGATCATTTGTCTTGTTTGCCCAACATAACATTTACCACACGTGCAGTTAATCCTGTACACACCTTCTGTAATACATCTTTTGTAGCAGATATTAATTTCTGTATTTTATGTACTCTGCCAAATCTGCCTCGGATGTTTTGTTTTTCAAAACATCTGGCTAGTTTATCAGTTGCTGCCGCAATGTACGGTATTTTGATCGTTTTAATTACTTGGGCAGTTTCAATGCTCTTGTTATTTGATTTGGTTTTGGTATTCAATGCCCTGTTGATTTGTGCATCATTGTAACCATTAATTTGCAGCGCTTCTTTAACATGTTGAATTTAATTTCTCACACTGTCACCATCTGACACTTTCTTAGCTCGATGAATGAGCGTCTTGATAAGAGCAGATTTCTGTGCGGGGTGATGGTGTGACTGCATTCAGATCGGAGTCAGTATGCGTTTTCTTTCGGTAAACAGTGTGTTGTTTTACCATTTCTACCCCGTCCGAGCAGAATATCGAGAAATGTTAGAGTTCTGTCAGCTTTCACTTCCATGGTGAACTAGATGGTTGGGTTTTGCGAGTTGAGATGATTTAGAAATGCGTTCAGTGTATCTTTGCCGTGTGGCCAGACCTCCAATGTGTCACCCACATATCTAAACGAAGCAGATGGTTTTAGTGTGCTTGAACCTATTGCTTTTGTTTCAAAATCTTCCATGTACAAATTCGCTATCACAGGAGACAAAGGAGAGCCCTTTGCTGCTCCTTCCTTTTGTTTTATAGAAGTCACCTTGCCACAAGAAGTGTTCTTTAGAAAGTGTTCAGCTAGTCTTTGGATATCTTTGGCTAAACTAGGTAACCCAAGTTTGATTCCTTATCACGATCAACACCAGTGACGATTACCTAAATGGGTCCTGGGCCTTCCCTAGGTCGACTCAGCCTCAAATGAGTACCTGGTTTTGTGTGTAAATATCACTACTAGGGAGTCAGAGGGCGTGGTGCTGGAAATTCACTCCCTCGTGTGCTGTGTCAGTCTTCATTGGTGCTACTCGCTAACAGCACTTGTCCCAACAGTCTGTTAAGGCTATACGGACAGGAATCGTCATTGTTATGTGTGCCCGTGCTCGCGCGTGCCACCGTGTGTGTGTGCACAATTTGGGGGTCTCATTACGCCTTTTCCGATAAGCCTCTACTTGACTACTGTGACATCGTGTATAAATCAGCCCCAAGTACTGTACTGAAGAAGCTTGATTCCATCCTCCACTCGGCCTTAAGATTTGCATTGAACTGCCCATATAGGACTCACCACTGTGATCTCTACATTTGGTCAAACTTAACATCTCTTAATGTTCGACGGCTTGTGCACCAGATCTTATTTATTCACGATGTACCTACAAAAAAATCCACAGGCTACCTACTGGATCTCCTCTCTGTTTCAAAGAACAAATTTGACCTCAGGTCTTCGCTCATTTACCAGCTTCACATTCCTTATTGCCGTACAAAAACCGGAGGAAGGGCCTTTGCTATTGATGCCCCCAGGGTCTGGAATGCTATTGCCAATAAACTGCAACTTTAATCACTACCTATGAGATCTTCACTCAAAACTGCTCTAGAGGAGTTGTACACCCCTAGCTGCCACTGCTATTCAGTGGCCTAAAATATGGCTCTAGGGTTTGGTGTTATAATTTATTTATGTAGTTTATTGTAAAAAATTCGGTCACAGTCCCTATGATCACTGTTACATTGCATTTATGGCTTTTATTTTGGTGATTTCGAAAACGTTTTTTTTTGGTTTGGCCATGTTTTTGTTTATTGTAGTACGGAGTTAGACTGATGGCCTAAATCTTAGTTGTCTTGTGGTTGTTGTTGTTGTTTGACTTGCATCCCACTGGGATTTTTGCACACAGCGTTGGTGGATGGTGCTATTTCAGGAATATTTTGATATTTTTTCCCTGGATTTTCTGTTTGCACAGTCACATAATCACTTTAAGATGTTTTCTTGTTCATGTTTTTTGTTTGTTGCGGTTGCACCCGATTCAAGAGCCGAATGGCTCACAGGGCTATACCAAATAAATGGAACTATGAACTAACTAAATGGAAATAAAACGCATTTTTTTATTCATTTCATGTTACTTTACTTTAATCTAGATATTAAGTTTTCGTGACGGCAAGGTTCTTTCGGTAAAGTCACGTAGGTAAATAAATTAATAAAAACATAAAAATAAATAAAAGTAAATTTATTCACGACGTTTCGATTGCAACACAAGCAATCATCATCAGGTGTGAAAATCACAGCTAGAATTTTTTTTTACTAAAGTGGGAGAAATGCCGAGGCTTAGGAGTTTATTATATAAGTGTGGACGTCAGTGACTGTGACGTGAGACTGTGCGGGGGGGGGCGGGGCTAGAAGCGAGAGGTTGAGAGAGATAAGCGCGGGGTGGGGGGGGGGCGACGCCTCGACGACTGCAGTTACAGCCGATGTTGGTGCCCAAAGCAAAATAAGCAGCACTGTTAAACGCTGGGGATGCAATTGACTCGGTAATAAAATATTTTAAAATACTTTTAAAAAAAAACACGCTTTAATGAAATGTACTGTCCGAGCTGCCCCTCCCCATGCCCCCTTCCCCCATCGCCCCTCCCCTCCTTCCACATCCCCCGCAATGTTCAGGAAATAATATAATAATACGTCTTGGCATGTGTGTGAATGTGTGTGCAGAACACCGTCCTCATCAAAAATCGAGACAAGTACTCACTACATCGCACAACCTGCAGTACAGTATGGGCCAACTTCTGGACACAACTGCTGCTGCTGCTCAGGAATGGAGCTCTTTCTTGGGGCACCAGGCACTGATCAGCCTGGCCATATTTTGCATAATATTCCTGGTTCTTCGGGCTATACTCCAGGAGGTAAAGGCAACTAAACGCCCATTGGACTTTCCTCCTGGCCCAAAGGTGATACCATTTTTAGGGAATGTGTCTTTGTTTAAGAAGCCCGATGTTGCCTTAGACGAAGTTACGAAACAGTATGGAGAGGTGTGCAGCGTAATGGTGGGCAAGATTTCCATGGTGTTTGTGAGTGGCTACCAGGCAGTAAAAGAGGTCCTAGTGCATCAAGGGCATGAGTTTGCAGACCGGCCAAACACCCCCTTCAACAAAAAAGTCAACGGAGGCCTAGGCATTATTTTTGCTCCATATGGAAAATATTGGATGCAACATCGTAGGTTTACTCTGTCAACATTGCGGAATTTTGGACTTGGTAAGTCATCCATAGAACAAACCATTCAGGCAGAGGTTGGCTTCTTAATCGAGGCATTTAAACAGAAAGGATCGGCATTTGACCCTCACTACGACTTAAACAGTGCTGTGGGAAACATAATTTGTTCCATGGTTAAAGGGAAACGGTATGAATACAGTGATAAGCAGTTCCAGGATTTTTTGCACCTCGTTGAAAACAATCTTCAACTCCAATCAGGGCTGCTGGGAACTTTATGCAACATCTTTCCCTTCTTGATGGACTTTCCTGGACCGCAGCAGATAATATTCAAAAGCATGGCAAAATCGAAACAGTTTATACGTGATATAATATCTGAACGCCATGCAACAAGAGATCCCATCAAGCCAATGTGCCTGATTGACGCCTACTTGTCTCAATTGGAGAAAGAGGACAATCCCAACAGCAGCTTCTCAGAACAGAGTCTCATCATGTTGGCGTTGGACCTTTTCATTGCTGGTGCAGAGACCACCTCCACCACATTACGCTGGGGCCTTCTCTACATGATGATGCACCCTGAAATACAAGCCCAGTGCCATGAGGAGATTGACAAGATTGTGGGATCAGATCGACTACCATGCATGGAGGACAGACACAGTCTGCCCTATCTGGATGCTGTGATCCATGAGATACAGCGCTTCAGTAACATTGTTCCTTTCGGGGCTCCACATGCCACCACTGCAGATGTCAAGTTCCGCCAGTACTTGATTCCAAAAGGGACGATCATAATGGTGAATATGAAATCGGTTCTGAGCGATGAAAACCATTGGAAAACCCCATACGAATTCAGTCCTGAAAACTTCCTTGATGAGGATGGCAAGTTTGTAAAGCCAGATGCCTTCCTGCCCTTCTCTGCTGGCCCCCGTGTCTGCTTGGGGGAAAACTTAGCAAAGATGGAGCTCTTCCTTTTCTTTGCATCTCTTTTGCAGCACTTTGAGTTTTACTGGCCTGATCTGGTCTCTGCACCAACCCTGGGTTACATATTACAGATCACCAAGGCTCCAAAATCTTACAAATTGGGGCTTCATCTCCGCAATGGAACATAGTTTAAAGAGTGCTATAGTGTGTGTGCTGGTTTGAGTCTATCATGTCTGAGCACACATGCACGCATTGGAAAAGGTTTTATATATATAAAACAATACATGACGATTGGTGAAAAAAAACTGGTAGAAATCTGGTGTACAACAATACGTGAATCAATTTAACTGTTTCTAGTAAATCGTTTAATCATATGTTACGTTAGTTTAAAGATAGACATGATAGTTTTCTCCAAACATCTTCCATTACTTCAGCGAATTTGCCCAAAAATAAGTTGACCTTCATTTCATACTATCTTTCACAAGTCACCCGGGGCCCGAGTACATGAACGTAGAAATAGATAATTGACGTGATAGCTACTTCACAATTTAAACTCGAGGTTAGCTCAGATCGTGGAATGTGCTGGATATGCTCTCTACTCTGTGTGGCAATTATAGTGACATACTGTGCCCGCATAAGGCACAGAATGCGAGCTAATAAATACGCAAACTTTATTTCTGAAAAAGGAAGACATTGATGGCCGAGCTGTGGAGGTCCAATTACATTTTCAGGATCTTTATGGCCTCACAAGAGATTGTTATACGAGTGGGTTGCATTATGAGCGAGAGACTAGATGGAGTGGAGTGGCCCAAAGGCTGGAAGAAGCCCAGAGATGGGCCAGAGAGCCAGGGACCCAGAATGAGCAGAGCATGGCAGATGAGGGTCAGATCCTAGAAGATCCAGAGGAGCCAGGGGCGACCGTGATGTTCACATAAGCTTGGTAGGCTGCCCTTGACCGAAGCCGTACATTGCACGAGAGGTATCGTGGTAAAGCAGTTAAAGTATTGCGGTGAAGCAGTGGAGAAGCTAATAGCTATTTGTCAGGATTCCAGTTCTTAAATAGTATAGAGCCGATACATACGAAAGTGAGATTAAGGAGACTCAAAGTTAGTGCGGCAGAAGAAATCTGAGGAGACAGAGAAGACATTTGCCTACTGGAACAGGAAACTCATTTTGAGATGGATAGAGGTTAACACGAAACCGTATTGTGCTAGGTCACAAACTAAAGTAAGTGACTGTAAAACTACAAGTCTGTGAATAGTTGTCACGGTGAAGTCATGTATGCACGTCGGACGTTCAAAGGAGGCCAACGTCATCGTTCTACACATCGTCAAGACCCGACCATCCCCGGCCAGTCACCAGCTGCATCAACCACCTGGCTGCCATGCCGTCATCCATAAAGCTGCCGTCTTTGCTTTTCAGGAGACATTGTGTGCGAGCGGCATTACAACAAAAACGTATTTTACTCATCAATTAACTTCAGTCACCAGTCAGAAGCTTCCTACACTTCTGCCGTGTCGCCTCAACTGTGGTGTACGAGGTCATCTGCTGCAGACTGTACCTGAAATAAATACGAATTCACAATTATCACCCCCTGACATACTTAACCAATCATCACAATTTCATTATCACATATTGACATTCAGCGGAACGTAGAAACTAACGAGTTCGTGGTGCCGATGATATTCTGAGTGTACTATACACCAACAACATTAAGTGTGCTTCATACTGAGAAAGATGGTGGCAGCTGGCAGCAACAGTCATCTGCACAATCCCTAATTTCCCTCCTCCATCCCTTTACCTCCCCTACCATGACCTCCTTGTCTCTTCCCCTGCCGTATTCCCGTCCACCACCACTATTTTTTAGGTATATAATTTCTTCATTATTTTGGTGATGTCCGTGTTTTGATTTGTTTGGAGGCACCGCTCCCGTACCTGCTGCCTGCACCCACTGGCGCATCCGTTTGGTAGCCCGGGTTACTCACTGGGGTGCAGCGTCGCCCTGCGCAGCGCGGATTCCTCATCATCCCGTGCGACCGGTGGGTCGCTCCTTCGCAGGGCCATGCAACCACCGGGGGGGCTTTGGCTGCCCGAGGTCATCGGGGATTTTTTGCGGTGCCCGAGATGGAAGGAACCTGCGGCCGGGATCTTTCCTGGGGGAGTCTTTCACTGTGTCTGCGTGCGGAGCGTGGTGGGGAGCACTCCGCGATCTTCCTCGTCGCGAGCTTGGCCCGGAATTCTGCTAAATTGTAGGGAAGTGGACGTCGTCGACGGAGTGACAGACTCGCTCGCGGAGGCACCCTTCCCTCGCCTGGCTCCCCCCTGGCCGACCCCCTTTGTCTTCCCAATGAGATGCCTCAACACTTTTCCACCCCCCAGATTTTTGTTGCTCCCCAGCTACGACCAGGCCTACCCCAATACCCTCCTCATGACTCCTGCCTGTTCTGATGTCACTAAAATTACACCACCACTTTAAATAATAACCCCATTCTTCATCTCAAACTGCTATCTTACGTACAATTTTATAATACCTTGGAAATGGCGCAATATAAATTTCAATAAGATATCTTGAAAGCTGATTGCATTTGTTGAATTATGTGCCTTGTAATAATCATAGCGTGTACTGGGTCATAACACCTTTTTTACCTGAATTCTGAGTTAAGTCATTGATTTGTTTTAATTGTGTAACAGTACCATCCACAACTTTAAAGCTTTGGCTCAAGTGTTCGGATTTCAAAATAATTTACTATTCTGTAATGATCACAACACTACGTTGTTTCTATTGTATTGTAAAAAAATATGAAAATGTAAAAATGGCAACTGTGGAATGTTAATGTATTCCAATGTCAATTAAATGCGTTTTGTTAATGCATAATTATTGCGCGTAAATTAATAATTGATTGGTATGCATATGCTTATTAAAAAATATATTTTAATACGATTTATAAATTCAAGATCAGTTAGTGAATTCCATTAAACAATAGATTTTCGCATTAATGACAAGTTATTATTGGCTTTCACGTTGTCTAGGGGTGTGTTATCAATCGTGATAATATCAATGATTCTCGCTTTAACATTTTCTGATTATAACTTTATCAATGTGTACCGTATTTTCCCGCATATAACCCGCGGGGTATACCACTTTTTACAAACAAAACAAGACCCTGCGTGGTATATAGAGGTGCGGGCTATCCCAAAAATATATTACACGTGTGACATGTCATGACTCGTTATTTTTTTTCATGATAGGACTATCCACTATGCAACACTTACCTTTGACTAAAGCACTGTTGAATAAACCACTCACACTAAAATTGCACATTTTATCACGTTTTAAATTATTCGAATTGTTTTTACAATGAAACGACAATGTTTGAAGTAGACGCACTTTGTTTACCGGCGACGGGAGAGCTGGGGGGAGAGAGAGGTGGGTGTTGGGGGTGGGGCAGCTGGGGGGAGAAAGAGGTGGGGGGTTGGGGGGTGGGGCAGCTGGGGGAGAGAGAGGTGGGGGGCGAGGCAACGGCGTTACCGTAGTGCTGCTATTATCTGCACAGTGCGCAATCTACCAGTGCTAAAACTGTTATGATTTTAATGTTAACAATTGATAGTGGAATGTATTACAAATGTAAACTTCGTATTAATGATGGAATTAAGCTGCGGTAATGCCGTTAAATATATGAATGCATGCGGGGTATATGGAGGTGCGGGCTATCTGAAATTTGTTTTACACAAAACGCTATTTTTGCAGGGTATATGCGTCTGCAGGTAATATGCATATGCGGGCTATATGCGGGAAAATACGGTATTGCACTGACCACATGGAAGTTCAAATTTTATAATTACAAATAGTATATGAAATATATTTAGTTTTAAGTGAAAAGGACATAGATACACATCAATTAGAAGATAGTGAAGGTGATAGCCCACAATAGTTGTTGGTACAGCCCTATACAAGCAGAAGGGAGGAAACTATTTTGTTGCTGGAGGGCAAAAAGCCACGTAAGGCGGGGTCTGCCCTGGTATTCCACGAGGCAGAGTAATTTATTTCTCACAGAATACTAAATATATCTTGCAAATTAAAAGAAAAGAGTTTAATCCAGTATTTACAAACCAGATTCCTCGAAAGAAAAACATTAGACCAGAGTAAGTATCTTCATTGCGATAAATGAAGATTTAGCAAAGTTCGTTTAGCATTAAAACTTTGGCAGAACGATGTGTTATGAGCATACTTTACTTGTAAATCACAAAACCATAATTACTTATAGGAATGAGGGTATAATTCAGACCCTGGCGGCAAGTAGATAGCAGATAAATTTTGACATCACTTGGTTTACAGTAGATCCCAACATAAAATTCCAGTGCAGTTTATCTTAGTGTAAGGAGGTGAATTAATGTAGTTGAATTAATGATATGGATCAATTTTGATTTAAAGCTTTCGTGACTGCAGTAATTCATATTCTTAGCTCTTTCGGTAAAGTCACGTTGAAGGGAAACAATAAAATAATAACATATATAAAACAATAAAAATTCTCACGACGTTTCGACCATAACACACGGTTGTCATCAGGTGTGTCGGTTTGCATAAATTTATTTATTTTTAAACGGTGTATTTATTTATAAAAAACGTCAGCGCCACGCGCAGCGATTTGGCAGTTTATTTAGAAGGACTAGTCCATCTATGTTCTGAAAAGAGGAGGGGGGAGATGAAAAATTAATGCATGCTGTCTGAAAGCCACCATAATCGTGAACAATCAATTAAGACCTGAAATGGTTTATCAAATCTTTCCAATGATTGTTAAGCCAGAATCCATCTTCTCGGTTGAAATTGTCTCTGTGCTTGTATATGTGGATAGCCTCATGAACGAATCTCTCATGGTAGCCAGATGGCTTACAAAGAACCTCTGTCTTGGAAAAGTCAATGTCATGTGAGCCTACTGAATTATAACAGTGATCTGCCACGGCCGAGGTGTTGGTCCTACCGTGTTTAAGGTCTGCTTTGTGTTCACGAATGCGGTCCGAGACATGGCGTTTGGTTTCTCCAATGTAACTACTACCACAGAGGCAACTTAGTTTGTAGACACCAGGGTACTGTATGTCCGGAATCACATCTTTTACAGACGGAACCAGATCACGGATTTTATGTAATGTGTTGAAACGGACCTGGATCTTGTGTTTATTCAAGATTTTGGAGATCTTTTTTGTGATCCCCGCAATGTAGGGTAAAGTGATGGTTTTGAAAGGCTCCTCAAGAGGGTCCTTCTTTATGGTTTGAGTGATAGCTTTGCGGATTGTATAGTCGGAGTAACCATTAGCCTTAAGAGCTTGGTGTACGTGCTTGAGTTCACTGCCTATGTGTTCCTGGTCGGATATGCATTGGGCTCTATGATGCAGAGTCTTGATGAGAGAGTTCTTCTGTGATGGATGGTGGTGGGAATCCGGTTTCAGATAAGCATCCGTATGGGTAGCTTTCCTGTAGACAGAGTGGCTCATTGAACCATCAGGTCTCTTTTTAATTAGGACATCCAAAAAAGGTAGCTTGCCATCTTTTTCGACTTCCATGGTAAATCTGATGGCTGGGTGTATGGAATTGATGTGGTCGAAGAATTGGTCTAGAGCAGGCCGGCCATGTGGCCAGATGACAAAAGTGTCATCCACGTACCTCTTCCATAAGGTTGGGCGAAGAGTCGCAGTCTGGATGGTGTCAGTCTCAAATTTCTCCATGAAAATGTTAGCTATAACCGGAGATAGGGGGGAGCCCATTGGGGTGCCCTCTGTTTGTAGAAAGTTCCATTCCAAGTGAAGTATGTATTGGTTAAACAGTGTCTCACCAGGGGGGGTACCTCAGTGTTTAGTCCTTGATGAACCAAGTCTTCAATGATTGCGATGGTGTCAGGTACAGGAACCTTGGTGAATAAGGAAACTACATCCATACTGACAAGCAGGTCGTCTGGGGACAGGGAAATACCCTTGATTGTCGATACCAGGTGAGTAGAAATTTGTACCGCAGAGGTGGTTTTTCCAGTGAGAACCGCAGGGACATGCAAGTCCCAATCCAGCTGTGACTCGCTGACCAGGTGACTCAACATGGAGGTCAGCGTTCTATTCAGGCGTTCGATCAAGCCATCTGTCTGCGGATGGCATGGTGACATACGCACCTTCTTTGTCCCCAGCAAATCGCAAATCTCACACAGCAATTTCGAAGAAAATTTCTTACCTTGATCGGTCAAAAGGCGCTCGGAGGCACCCTTATCCAGGACATAGCCATTAAGGAACGCCTCGGTCACAGCTATAGCCGATTGATTCGGGAGCGACCAGGCCATAGGCCAGCGTGAGAAATATTCAACGCCAACGAGCAAGTCATTACACATGAACTCGAGCAGTCTTGCTCAGTGTTTTCTATCTTGTATATCTCGAACAGTCGGTCCCGATGGATTCCACAATGTAGATCTTGATTAGTCGGCACCGATGTCGTCCACCTCCCGTCGTCGATCAGTCCTCGAGCAAGCGCCCCGAGCACGGGCCTCGCTCCCCCTATTATATTCACTAGGACCTGCCCCTCTCTAGCCTTGGTCACCACACAGTTTGTAACATTGTGACAGTACCCTGCACTTATTTTCAGCCATCTCCACTCACCCCACTCTCAACCTTGACATGTACAGTACGCTACACATGTGTAGTGACTAACTCGGAGACAATAAGACTTGGAGGCACTTCTTTATTAACAAGCACCATCGGGGTTAACACTGTTAATAATTAGTCTGTCTATTGTTGGCGACGCTACTCAGGACAATTGGTAGGCTGCCTGAGGAGCGGCACCCGAGCAGCACGATGGGGATCCCACTCCAACAACAGCCCCGAGATCCCCTACAGGAGCCCCTGTTATACTGTCAGCGTGGCCTCTTTCTGCACCCTGGCCACGCCCCCTTTCTGGAACCTACTCTCGGGTTCTTGGTGTGCCCTCTCTGTTACCTTTCCCCTAGATCCCTCTCTCGTTTTTCCTGGCCTGCTGACGTCAGGACTGCCATATGCCGCAGATCCCCTTTCCTGCCAGCAGCCAGTGCTATGCCACTACACATGTGTAGTGGCCTTATTGACGTCGGAGACTGTTCATTGGAGGCAACACGTATTTATTACAGATGCTTCAATTACAGTGGCGAATCTAATACTTGAAGAGGTAACGGCCTCTTCACCCGTACTCTATAGAGGAAACGTTCCCCGAGCTTTAGCCCACGCTAGCTCCCTGGTTCCCTATATTCTGGTCCTCTCTCACGAGGCTATCTGACCTGGTCCAGCTTCGGCGCAGGTCCCGATCACCAGCCCCACGAGTCCGACCCTCAAAAGGACATCGGGCCAAAGGAGTTCCAGGGTCTAGCTAGTCGATTTTCTTTCTTCACTGGCTCTTCATCTTGCTTGAGTCGAACTGCCTCTCAGCTCCCCGGGTTCCACCTTTTATACAGTCCCTCACTGAGGGGTGGGGCTGGGAGGGATCACAGCGTCCCCCACAGCCCCCCAGGGTGGTGGCCATAGCGGACGTGTTTGTGGCCACCGCCCTACAACCGCGTGTCACCCTCCCGTAACACCGCTACACATGTAATACTGTGAAAAAAACTGCATGGTAAATAAAACACAAAGTAACATGAATATAAAAAACCGGTTTTATTTTCACTTACCTTGAGTCACTACAATTGCACACACATACAAACAGACAAACAGACATTACAAAATGTAATGTATCGACTTCAGACACAGACTGGATGAGGGCTTCTCATTTCTCGTTGGCATACAGTTACGACTTTTAATGGGACGGTCACTAAAATGTATCTCTAACTGGCTATATAGCTGGCTGACTATACAGCGACATGGCGATGTCTGACTATACAGCTGGTAGACTATATAGTGACTTATAACGATGTTCACTAAATAGTGAGACAGCTACACAGCGCCGACAATGGCAGCGACGACGATGATGAAGATGACGTGGAGGACCCCGAATTCCTCACGTGCCCAGAACCCCGTTCCACTCTCCCTTATATCCCCTGAGCGCGGCCATACTCCGCCCCTGGCCACGCCCCTCTTCGCGAAGTCTCTCGCAGGTTCTGGAAGCTTCCCGATAGACCCCCTCTTTGACCCTTGGTCCAGTTCTTCTCCCTCTTGTGGTCACTCCCACGTACTTAGGCTGTGCTGTGTTACCACCCGCGAGTATACCTTACAGCCACCA